TGGTAAAAAGTAATTGTCAGTGGAAAATCAATACTGACCCCCATTGTTCGGTGTAGATTGAAAGTCGCCTCCGTTAAATAACTGTAATTACAATGTGTTGCGGTAGGAATATACTGAAGCCACCTTAGCATAGCATAACTAATGTCTTAAAGGATTCGTACAAAGTCAAATCAGAGATCTCGTAGTTGTCAATCAACGAGAACAGGAAAGTATTAAGCTGTGAATCTGTATGTAACGACCAAAATGCTAGTATTCGATTTGAATGCAGAACTAACTAAACAAAGTTTGTTCGATTAGACCAGACTACGTTCTTCTGTACAGAGTACGATGCGTTTTTGATTTACTCGTATTAAATCATATCAAAAACACAAGCTCCGTGTCCAATTTAAATGGTTCTAATTTGAGGAGGAGAACACATTATATCAAAAATATAAAATACCTCAAACGATGCAGCCTGTGCTATGCAGTCAAGAATTTCTCTAACACAAATTGGAGTGATAAACAACAAAAGGGGTGGTTAATACACAAGAGTTCAACACCTGAGAATCAATAAAATATTCCCAACGAGACTGGATCAAATATCTATCCTCAGGGATTCCAGTAGTCTTTCCAAGAAGATAGTCAAAGATTAACAATCATACACTGGACCACGCCGTGTACTTGAGCTTAGGCAAACACAATCTTATTGTCAATAGTGTGAAAATGTGCAACAGAAAAATTAGGTAGCAGAAGGCAAATCTTTAACCAAAGTAAAAGCTCAGACAAGGAAGACCAAAGAAGACAAATTGTGGTTAAAAGAGATTTGAATGAAGGTTAAAATACACGACAGGGAGAATAAGCAAATAAATGACTGTACTGTACAACGAAATGCTGTGAAGGGCTTATCAGCGTTTTCTTGCCATTAATCTCAGAGTTGTTATGCATCAAATGTTGCGTGCTATTCTCAGAGTAATTTACTGTAGTATAATACTGGGTCATCGTCTCTTGAAAAATTACACAAACTCTGTTGAAGTGGCGCAGTTGAATTTGTTTCAGTTCTTTCTCTAGATCACTATTTGTACTCACTTTATGATTCGGTTTATATAGGCTGAAAAGCTTCCATATCATTTTTAAGTTATCCACTGTTTCGACAAGACAATACAGTAGTTTAATGTACATGGTATGTGCCTAGCATCGGAACCCGAGAGTTTTAATCCATATAGAATTCGACATTTATAAATACCTACAACAAACCAGTTACAAGCCTTCACCAATACCCTATTACTTACTATAAAAGTTTGTTTCAACTTTAACTCTGGATCACTGAGGAAAAGCTGCCGTTTAAAAAAAGTAAACGGATTTGAGTCACTGTGTTAACATCAACAATGAAATGTACAAACGTTTAACTGACGAGTTCCAAGTAGGATCAAATGAATGCCATGGACACTGTATAACAACCATGCGAAAACTTTCCACTATACTTTGGGTAAAAGGTTTTGAATTGGTGTAAAATATTCTCTAAAATCAATGAATCTACCTTCTACCCGATACTTCCTTGAAATTATTCTATTGATTATGAATTCTGCCCAACATAAAGGAAAACGTCAATTGATTTCCTAATTTTAATTATCAGCAGACTTAATAAGAATACTATCTCATGAAAGCGAGGTGAGCATTTCAACAAAATTGATGTTATGTTCGTGTGAATAGAACAGTTAGAACGATATTGTGGTCTTACCTCAAAAGAATAAACCACTATTTCTCAAGCATCATAAAACATTTACCTTTACGTTAAACTCTTCTATTATTATACATCCCATAATTAATTTTGAGAGAAACGCATGAGACGCTTATTCACCTTAGTGTTTCTAATCATTCAGAAACTTGATTCCAGTAGTTATCATCTCATGTAAACATGGATTCCTTACAAAGTTATTGGAATCCACAAATTGTTACTGATAATGATGTGTAAGACACATAGATACAAGACCTCAAAACTCTTGTTTAAGTAACGTTGCAGTATTTTTTTAGTGTGAAAGTTCACCAAAATTGGAGCTGATTAGAGTCTGTAGCGTGGCGTTGAGTTGAGATTATCTATGAACACCGCTACCAAGAAACACGTGCCAGGTAAATCAGAAGGCGGAGGTTGAACGTAACCAGATTTATTTGGTTGGCGATCTCGTGGTATTGAACGAATACCGAGATCGTGCCAAGGAATGGTACAAGTGTAAGCAGAGGACAGGAGTACGTGCGAACAGTACCAAAAACCGCGGAACAATGATGGAAGGTAATGGAAGCACAAAATGGCTATAATTAGCACAGTTAAACAAAAGCACATTAAAACAAACACTGGTACAGTCGGTTATAATAATAGTTGTTTCTATCAAATCAGTCGTGTTCTCGTGATAAATGGTGGGTCGCTACAGGATCCCCCCGCTAGAAAGGGCTTACACTTTCGATAAATAGCGGTTTAAATCGTGGGACTGATCGGCTGACGAGCGATTGTAGGACGGAAGAATTGGCGAACAGGAAAGCGATCGTTGATCGTCGAGTTGCCAACGAAGGTCGTTTTCGGAGAACGGTACCAGGAGCGATGTGCTGTATTTATTGCTTGAGTTGGCATGTCACACCAGAGTGGTTTGTATCCAGAATCTGAAGATTGCGTTCGTAGGGAATGCGGACCAGAAACGCTGCAGACGAAGGACGAAACCACGTTCAGCCAAAAGACCAGAAGCGACCGTAACGACCAAGTTCGAGACCAAGCGTATGCCAAGCATTCGAAACCAATATATCGACTGAGTGCGTTGACAAGAGCGTGGGTGGCCAATCCAGCTTTCGCCAAAGTTGACTGAAGTCGACGGAACCAAACGGAGATGGTCGAAGGCGTAGGCTCAGGAAACAAAAAGAAAATCAAAAAAGAGAAGAGTGTAGCATGCGTGTAGCATAGGAATATTCCTACACCGTATCGGTTGTTGACTGTGCGACTAGTCGCGGAAGCGTACGGGCAACCGTACTCGGCGACCGGAACGTGAGACGGTAGTCTAGTTCGCGTCGCGTGAGCCTGCAATCTCATCCGAAGTCAAGAGCGGCGTGGTCTGCTGATCTGGACGTGAGACTGTCGTCTCGTCCGTAGACGGTGCAGATGACGCGTGCTGTTGACTGTGACATGAGAATGAGGTCTCAGGTGTATTTAGCGTGGGACCTGAAGATGGTTTGAGGATCCCGCTAGTGGGTTTGATGGGTCTAGCATTGAATCTCAAGTTGTCAGACAGGGCACTGTCATCGACGCGTCCTGGTTTGAGACGATCAATGCTGACGATCTCGACGCGGCCGTGTCGATCAACCTTGAAGGTCTTTTCGTGACGAGCGATCAAGCGAAAAGGGCCTTCGTAAAGTTGTTGCAAAGGTTTGCGTACCGAATCTACTCGTATGAAAACATGTGAACAGGTAGATAACTCTCAAGGGAGAGCGACCTGTCGATGTTGTATTCGAGTTGACACCGGAGACATCGTTCGCATAAATGCAGACAGTCGATGGACCTAGTCTGATTTACCAAAATCAGGTCTGCTCCGTGGTGTGAAGAATTCCCCAACAGACGCAATGTCGTGTCGTATACAAGTTCAGCGGCGGAACATTGGATATCTGCCTTCAAGCTCGTTCGAATACCTAAGAGAACGAGCGGTAAGGTTTCGTTCTAGTCGTCGTTTTCTTGTGCTCGAAGAGCACTTTTAAGTTGACGGTGAAACCTTTCAACTAAACCGTTTGAAGCTGGATGGTAGGCGGTAGTGCGTATGCGTTCCGTACCAAGCAGCCAAGTAAGTGAGGAGAATAATGCGGACTCAAATTGTTGTCCTCGGTCAGTCGTGACAGTCGAGGGACAACCGTGTAGAGCTATCCATCGTTCTACGAAGCGGTGAGCAACTGTCTCCGCCGTGACAGACGTGATGGGTATAGCTTCGGGCCATCTGGTGAAGCGGTCGGTGCACGTGAGTATGTGATCATACCCGTGCGATGGTGGCAGTGGTCCTACAATGTCTAAGTGAACGTGATCGAAGCGAGCATCAGGCGTAGCGAATGTACCGAGGGGGCGGCTACGTGCCTGCGCACTTTTGATCGTTGACATTGTAAACATTACTTCGCCCACATACGAACATCTTTATTCATGGACGGCCAGACGTATCGTGCAGCGATGAGGCGTAATGTAGCTGCGATACCTGGGTGAGATAATCCATGCAGGGCACCAAATACGAGACGGCGATAAGCAGAGGGTACGATGGGTCGAGGAAGGCCGGTAGAAGTGTCACATAGAATGGTGCCAGAAGTCGTGGCTAGAGGTACTTCCTGATACTGAAGGGACGTAGGGTGTGGTGCTTTTGTACAACTGGGATCGTTTGCTTGGGCAGCGGCCATAGCAGGAAGATCAAGCACCGGCAGATTAACTTCATTCGTTTGGATTCGTGATAGAGCATCGGTAACACAGTTCGACTTGCCTTGGATGTGACGAAGGTCTGTCGTGAACTGGGAGATATAGTCCAAATGTCTGCACTCTCGTGGTGAGTAGCGGTCAGACTTGGTATGCAAAGCATACGTTAAGGGCTTATGGTCGGTGAATAAAATGAATCGACGTCCTTCTACTGCGTGCCGAAAATGTTTGATGGCGCAGTAGGCTGCTAGCAGCTCGCGACCAAAAGCGCTATATCTCGTCTCCGTGGCAGTAAGGCGTCGTGAGAAAAACTCGAGAGGCTGCCAACTACCGGAGATGTTTTGTTGCATGACTGCTCCTATAGCAACATCGGATGCATCAACCGCTATACTAAGCGTGGCTGATGGATCGGGATGGGCGAGAAGAGTGGCTTGCGCAAGAGCCGTTTTGATTTCAGTGAATGCAGTACGTGCAGAATCGTTCATTTCCAATCTGCGTGGGTTGCCGCGTAGTAAGTCGGTTAGTGGTCGTAACCGTTCTGCCGCGTGTGGGATGAAACGACGGTAGAAGTTAACCAAACCGAGAAAAGCCTCCAGTTCCTTGAGTGAGGACAGCACGTTGTACTCCTTTATTGCCTGCACTTTATCCTCACAAAGTAGAATGCCCTCTTGCTTGATAACATGACCCAGAAATATTATTTCTCGTTTACCCAACTCGCATTTTCTGGGTTAACAACTATTCCGTTATCCGAAAGGCTTTGGAATAATAGCGTAAGATGTTGATAATGTTCATCTACGTTTGATGATGCGATTAGCAGGTCATCAAAATAGACGTGAACAAAATCGAGGTCTTGTACAATGCTATCGATAAACCTTTGAAAAGTTTGAGCAGCATTCCGTAATCCAAACGGCATTCGTAGGAACTCAAACAAACCGAAAGGAGTCATGATTGCAGTTTTTTCGATATCTTCAAGAGCGACTGGGATCTGATGATATGCTCGTACCAGATCGATCTTAGAAAAGATGGTCGTGCCCTTGAGCGATGCCGTGATGTCGTGTATGTGAGGGATGGGGTAGCTATCAAAGCGCGTAACTACGTTTAAAGCTCGGTAGTCGCCGCATAGTCTCCAACTAACCCTATCTTTTCTGCGCACCATGTGAAGAGAAGAGGCCCATGTACTGTGAGAAGGACGAATAATACTAGTAGCTAGTAAATTGTCAAACTCACGTTTAGCGAAAGCTAATTTGTCCGGTGCCAGTCGGCGAGGTCGTGCCGTGGCTGGCGGTCCGCGGGTGACTATGTGGTGTACCACACGATTGGTCATCGATGGAATCTCCTCGAGTGGTTTAGTGAGTACGGGGAATTTCTCGAATAAAGCGTGGAATTTATCGTCACGCGAGTAAAAAGTGCCGAGGATTCGGCACGCGTTCATGTGGGCTTTACAGCCCATGAATTTGCTGTTCGACGAAGTATCGATTAGCTGCAGCCTACGTGAATCGACAAGCAATTCATAGTGCTGTAGAAAATCGATACCTAGTATGGCTGTGGGAACATCAGCAATGATGATCGTCCACAGATACCGTCGTCGATCGTCCAGGTTGACCGCGAGTTGTCGTGTACCGTAGGTAGGAATGACTGAGCCATTCGCAGTGCGTACTCGAAGCACTGTGGCTTGTGACTTGCTGCTACCTCGTGGAACGACAGAAACTTTAGCCCCAGTGTCTACTAGGAACCTAGCGTTTGTGCGATAATCGTGCATATAAAATAAGCGACCAACCTGGGGAGAAGGGCCGGAGAGTACGGCCGCTTTGACTCGCCGGCGCTGGCGTTTCCCGCCTTGTATGAGCATGGTGCTCGACAACAGCGGGCGCCAGACCCGAAGGACCTATGAAACCAGCACCGACTGTCACTCGCTTTCGTAGCCGCCTTTCGGTGTGGCTTGGAAGATGCCCCTTTTTAGCGAGTGGTGACGGATTTGCGAGAACTTGAGCGAGCTCGGGGGACGTAGGGTTGGGGTACGTTACAACGGTCTCGAAAACTAAAACGTTTGTGAATACACCCGTCCCTGTCGCCATGAGCTGAGGAATGACCGGCGTCCATGTCTACTTTAGGACATGCCGTTGAAGCAACTTCATAGGTGTCTCTACTACTGGTCTTCGCTAAAATTTTGTCTGCTATGAGAGCTACCTAGTTAAGCGGTGAGTCACAGTAGGTTGGATATGAGCTAGTAGTGACTCGAGCCACAGTTCCCTAACTACTTCCGAGTCAGATGCTGTTGGTCCTGCAAGAGATTGCAGTCGTGTGAAGTGGTGGCTTGGTTTAGCATCACCCAGGGGGTGACGTGCTAACAATGTCCTCAATCGTTCCTCCCTCGATGGGAGGAAATGTCGGAGAATTGCCTCTTTGAGGCGATCATAAACATTAGGCACATTGGATTTGAGGATGACCTCACGTACAGCAACTAAATGGTCCCCGGGCAGTGATTCGAGAGCGAAGGCGTACTTTTGCCTTTGGCTCGTGATGCGACGAGTCTCAAACTGAAACTCTAATGCAGCAAACCTAACCTCTGGGGCGTGGGGGATGAATGATACAGGTCGAAAGTGAATGGCCTGTACGTCTGAGTCTTTAACATTAAAAGAATTCTTGTCGCTATCCGTCATGTCGTGTATACTATATATTAAAAATTAATATGAAAATATACGACAGACGTGGATAGATAAACGATAGACTCACCGAATTGGCTTCTTTGGGAGATTTCACCAGAGGTTGAGGCGTGTTCCAAAATACGGGTCATCAATTGTAGCGTGGCGTCGGGTTGAGATTAACTATGAACACCGCTACCAAGAAACACGTGCCAAATAAATCAGAGGGCGAAGATCGAACGTAACCAGATTTATTTCGTTGGCGATCTCGTGGTATTGAACGAATACCGAGATCGTGCCAAGGAATGGTACAAGTGGAAACAGAAGATAGGAGTACGTGCGAACAGTACCGAAAACGGCGGAACAATGAAGGAAGGTAATGGAAGCACAAAATGGCTATAATTAGCACAGTTAAACAAAAGCACATTAAAACAAACACTGGTACAGTTGGTTATAATAATAATTGTTTTTATTAAACCAGTCGTGTTCTCGTGATAAATGGTGAGTCGCTACAAGTCTATGAAAACCTGGTCAAAGCTGTGTATGAACCAAAAAGATACACAAATGATTGATGAATGTAAAATTATATGGAACCGTATTAATAATAAAATGTTTATACCAAAAAAGGTTTAAATTGTTTCTTTCAATAAACAAAGCTTTCTCACATAACTACGTTGGATCGAACATAGATCATCTGGACCCTAGTGAATTACACTTTTCCATGATCTCAACTTATGTTAACTTACAATTTAACTCAGCAGTCATCCTTCCTTGATGATGGACTCTCTTTACATATGCTCGAATGGTTCGATCTGCAATAATTCACTTTAAGCAGATATTCTGTGCTAATCTATGTTCACAGTAAATTGTGAATGATCCATTTTGTTGGTTAACTATCTTCAATGAACATATACTAAGTTATTGACAAATCCGAAATTAGTGTTAAAGCTGTCACCGACTGCAATCATCTGTAAGTTATCGTTAGGTAACAAAGATCACTTTTATCCTAACATTATGATTATCTGGTCATATTGTTGTTTAGTAATTCTTTGTTGTCTCTGATATCATCGATTTTAGTTTTATCTTCACATAATATGAAATCAAGCCGGTTTCGGCATTGACTGAACATAGCATTCTGCCTTGCTTCTTTTCATGTTTGAGTGAAAAGTCCCTACCTTAATAAAACATGCATTACTGAACGAAGTAAATATTATTATTATTCAGAAAAGGTTTCTGTTATTCAGTTAAGCTGAACTAAATTATTACAAACAATACATTTCAGTGGATTTCGTTTCACCCACTGAAATATTTTGTCAATAGCATATATATATATATATATATATATATATATATATATATATATATGTATATATATGCATCACTTTAACTGAGAGTAGTTTATTCTCATGTGTGATTGAAATAATTTCATTTCAACAACTCGGTCACACGTTGATCCTGATGATGGTGAGCTGATATCAACTGAACTGCGGTGTTGATAGTTCTCAACGATTTGTCCTCTTGATACTGTGAATAAACCAAAGGTCTAAATGGATATTATTCACAATCATAATGACTTGTTTAGATGAAGTCAACTGAGCATTGATAGGTTTCACTGAATCTCTTTGGTAAACGTTTACTGAATGACAATTTATTGATCTTTCGGTGTTTTTCAAGCCATACTTTATCTTCAAACATCTGTTGAATCTATTCAATCATGCAGTTTTTGTCAGTAACCTGTATCAGACAGAGTAACGAGTGAACATCGGTCATTGTGCAGATTATCATTTGGTAGTTTGTAATAAATTTATAGATGCCTTCAACTCCAAAATACATTTGTAGAATTATGGTCCAGTCCAATAATACAATAACAGATCTTATTCTAAAATTGTAAATTAGGCATGTGACAACGTAGTCCATAAGATCTTACGTGAAAGTCACATTACTGTCTACCCTGACTCATCATACCACGACAATCCTCAATACGATGGTTGGCGCTTAGGAAATACACATTTTGGTTTGGGACATAATAATTTATTTAATACGAATAAAAGAGATAAATTACAAGAGTGACCACGCCCGCAAGGCTGATCTATGCCATCAGAATAATTGTTCGCACGTCCATCATTGTGGGTCTTTTCTTCGTGTTAAATCTTAAATAAGCATTTCCCCGGTTATTTCGTGTTCAGCTTTGAGGATGATGTAGTTGGAATCGATGCCACCACGCATTCACAAACTGATTGTACATCTTTCCCTTCTGACCAGCTACATTCCTTAAAAACTTCGGAACATTGTGTCAACTACGTTAGATTTGTCTCTGAACATTAAACCTGACGGGTTATGTTCTGATGGTACGTATAGTCACTAATTCGCACGAGTAACGTTCAATATACGTCCTTCCCTACTGGCAGCAAAACAAGCATTACGAGTAGACTCGTTTCGCAGGTAATATATCACCATCATTGAGTCTGTCCAAAATATACTCCTCATTGTTGTATGCTTATTTTCTCTAACTATCTCTCAGTTGACTTCATCTGAGCATTGATAGGTTTCACTGAATCTCTTTGGTAAACGTTTAATGAATGACAATCTATCGACATGTTAACCGATGTAATTGTATGCTTTATGCGACCCTAATATATGCATGTCGTGTGTGCAATAAATAGTGAGGAATAGTTACTGATTGTCTATAATTATGATCATTATTTCCCCAAACTATAAAATATATTGACACAAACTCAAATCAAATCAAGTTAAATTTCGATTGATTAATGTAATAGTTCTATAAAAATATATATTTGGCTGGCGTTTTTAATAATGTAAGTGTTTGATTAAGCTTTAAAATTATTTGAAGATGGAAAAATAGCAATATTATTGTATATCATGAGAGAGAGCAAAATGGGAATCAATGTTTACAGTAAAAAACGATGTAAAGTATGATTCAGGGAATCAGAGATGAAATTTCTCATATTGGTGACTGTCAGTCAACAAAAAACAGAGTCACTGAGTGTTTCCTACTATCTAACTCAAAGCACCTAACTTATCATGTAGAACAGTGGATGAAAGCAATTTTTTAAGGCTAGTCCATAGTTACGTACATGTACTGATCTGGTCTAACTGTTTCACAATAATGTGCCAACACAAACTATTCTTCAACAGCGACGTCTGATAGTCACGAGTAAGAAATAGACTAATCTGACTACTCAAAAATGCATATATTGTACCGTTAGCAA